TTTTCTTAGAATGTTGTTATTCGACATATATGTTCTTTACTTGGTTATAATCAAACAAGTCGAACATTTGTTACATTACCAAGCAAAATTCGGTTTGCTTGTTTTTTTTTTTCATAAAATGTAAATGATTATATTAAATTATTTTCTATTTTGATTTAGACGAAGTCCAGTTTTTCATGCATTTTTATCTAATTTACCAAAAGTTCTTGATTATAATTTTAATTTTGGAACTATTCTTTTACAATTTTTTCTATCATTTCTTCAATTTTCCACATGTTCAAATGCAACAATGCAATTCTATGATCATATATCAGCATTAAATACACTTGGACGAATTGATCCTAGTTTACGTGATTCATGGTTAATGACTCTTATTATTATCTTATATAAAGTAAAAAGCTTTTTGATTCTTTTTTATTAAAAAAAAATGAAAATAATTGTTTTCAAAAACAAAATTTAGTATCAATATACAGCATATACTCTAACAATTCAACATTTAACTCGTGTTGCAATGAATACAATTCTTTCTCATTATCATCAATGTGAAACACCACCATTTGGTGCAGCTGGAGGTGGTCTTAGTGGAAGACTTACACCGAAAGTAGCCGGGTCAAGAAGAGGTGATAGTTTTTTTTTTGTTTGACAAATTAATTTAGAAAAAAGACCTTTTTGTCTTTCTTTTTCAATATAATGTTAGGATCATCACGACCATTTGATGATATACGTGAAGTAGAATTAAATGAATTAGGTGCTCGATATGATTTAGAAGCTGATACACAATCAGAATCAGCAAGTATTGCTGAACATAAACGTTTTAGATTATTGTCACCACCAAAAAAAGTTAAACCAAAGTAAAACATCAAAATTTAGACATTAAAATGTAGAAAAAAAAAACTTAATTTAAAATAGATTATATAAACCTGAAATAGAATGTTTTGATGAACCATTAACAATTCGACAAACTGATGATCAAATTACTTCAGGTGGTCGATCATATACAGAATTTTTAAAAAGTCTTTTTACTAGTAGTGGCACAGCAAGTACAACTAGTGCTAATCCAAATGCATCAGCTGGGATAACAACATCATTATCATCAATGGCTCCAACAGAAAAATTAACTGAACTTGATGTAAAAGGTATTAGAGGTAAGAATTATTTCTATGAAATTAGAAAAAATTAATTTGACGAAAATAAATATTTCATAGGAGTCAAAGAACTTTCACGTGTTATTTATTCAGCTGAACGTGGTAAACTTGAAACTGTTTTACTTAAACCTGGTACTGGTGGAATTAAAGGTCTGGTTTTGAATTCATAAAAATATCAAGTCATAAATTGTTTATTGATTTCTTTTCTTTATAGAAGAAAGTCCTCCAAAAACTCCTAAAGTAACATCATTATCATCATCAACATTAGCTAGTCTAGGTGGTACAGCAACTGGTGGAAAATTAAAACCAAGTTATCATGGTAAAAGAATGAAATATAAAGATGAGCCACATGTCCGATCACCAACACTAAGGTTAATACAATTCCTTTTTTGTTTTTGCTGATTTATATTATTTGTATTTTTTTAAATATCTATTCAGTCGTCCAACACGTACATCATCATCACAAGGTCAATTAAAAACTGGTGGCATAGCATCATCAACTGCTAAACGATCAGCAACAGCAACAAATGATGAATTAGATAATCCATATGCTGATACAGATTTACATAATCAATCAATAGCTGCACCTAAATGTGATAAATGTGGACAACCTATTGAATATTATAATGAAGAATGTATTGGCTATTGTATAATTGTCTGTGGAACACTTGTTCATCGTGAACCAGCTATAGCAGCACCATTACTTATGGATATGATTGAAACAATTGGACGAGTTGCTGAATCTCATATATATACATGGCAAGAAAATTCAACTGTTGTTGCACCAGCTAATTCAAGAAGTATTGCACAACAATTTATCCGTTGTACATTTCAACAATTAGCTGCAAATAATATTTCTTATCAATTTTTTCAACAAAATTTTCGAGGTTTGTTTTCGATATAGAAATCAAATCTCAGTCGAGAAAACATTTTGTTTCTTTTATTTTTTAGATGATAAATTGTTACATACAATAGCATTATCATTGAATGATTTTCCGGAGTTTAATTCCATTATTGCACTAAAATGGCTTCTTAATGTAATTTTTTTTTTGTTTTCGAAAATTGTCTATCACATATATAGAAGATCAAGAATATGAAAGATAAGATCCTTTCTTACATCTGTATCTTCTAGATATGTGAACATAGACATGTTCTAAGTTTGCCAGGATTGGACAGGAAGGAGAAAAGCTGTGCACTTTTTTTGCCAGTTGATGGGCAAAAAACGAATAAAACGATGCGAAGGAGGCTGACCTCGAATCTGTTGTATCCAAACTTTTTCGAATGCGGATCTAAATTTGATCGAACCGTTTTTTCTGTATTCAGTGACTAGTGCTCAGACTCGAACCTGATGGACTATACTTTCTCCGCTCAAAACATTCCTGTGTGAATATATTGGTTAGAAAAGAAATTCAAATATATATTTTTTTCTTATCTTTCAATAGGATATGAATAAACAAAAAAGTCTTTCTCTTGATATATGTACAACATTACTTAGTAATATAGCACAATTTATGGAATATATTCCAATTGATTCACCAATTCAATTATGGACAAGTGTATTTCTTGAATTTGATTTTTTATTTGATAAACTAACACGTGTTTATACAACAATTAAATCAAGTACACCAGTTAATTATGATTTAACACCAATACTTCGTATTATGATGAATATACTTAAAGTACCATATATAGCGAATGTTCGACTTGTTCTTGATCCATTTTCAAAATTATTAACATTTATTTTACAAAATGGAACATTTCAATTAGAACATATTATTGAATTATGTTCATTAAGTAATCGAACATTTACACGAGTAAAAAAACTATAAAAAAATCTTGTTTTCTTTAAATAATTTTAAATTTTCTTTTCTAATAGGATCGAGAAAAATTTTTATTACCAAGATGTATTGTAAACGTTCTTGTTGAAGCTATGCTTCATCGATATCCATGTCCAGATAGAAATTTACTTTTAATGATTCAAGTAAACATTAATTTCTTGTGTTTATTCTTTTCTTTCAAAAATAACTTTTAAAAAAATATTCATTTAGTTAATTTTACTTGATGCTGGTGGTACAATTCATGCATCGGCAATTGTCAGCGATGACGTTCGTGCATATGATCCTCATAATGTTGTGCGTTTGTGATCTTAGTGCTGTGATGTTCTTTTTTTTCTTCTTTAAACTAAATAGAATTATTCTACACAAAACTTTTCTTTTCGTTTATATATTAGGTAACAACAAATGGAGCTGAATGTATGAAACATTATCTCAATGAAACAGTTGCATTTATTGCAGATATTCACACAATAACAAAAATTAAAGTTAGAAGAAAAAAAAAACAAGATTTATAAAAAAAAAAAAGACCATTAATTCTTGCTTTGTTGTCTAAATAGAGTACAATGAAAGAAAAAAGTGAAAAACAACAATTATCAAATTTAACAGAAGATACATTAGGTGGACAATTAAAAGCTGGTCTTGCACAATATCTTGCTTTAGAATTTACAAAAGGTGGACAAAGAGATTCCAAAGCTATTGTACGTTTTCTTCCATGGCTTTATAATCCACCTACTTCTGTACAACAAGGGTTTGTATTTTTATTATTATTATAGATATAGAAAAAATAATTTTTGCTGTTTAGAGCAAAAGATTTTGTTGATTGTATTGATCGTATACGATTTCTATCATGGTTAATGATCGGTTCATTAACGCATGCAGCTATAACACGAAATGAAGGAACAATAATATGTCATCCAATACCTGTTGATGCAAGTCAATCAATAGCTGATTATATTTTATATATTTTAACTGGTTTTGCTGATCAATCAAAAACATCCGTTATTCATATGTCATCACTTTTTCACTCATTTATACTTTGTCAAGTAAGAATATTAAATTAATTTGTTTTGTTTTTTTTTTTAATCATCTTTATATATTTTAAGTTATGGACAATGTATTGTGAACAAGTTAATCGAGGACATGATCCTGAAGCACTTGTAGCAATTATGGATTTTTGGGCTCGTATTACACCGGGTATACTTCATTTATTGTCACATTCAAAAGTGGTATGTATAGATTTATTCTTCTTTTTTTTCTTAATAATGATGAAAAAAAAGAAAAGAATTTAATAAGAAAAAATTTGAAAAATGTAAAATCAATAATAATTTTCAGGATAAAGAAAGTCCTAACAAACATCGTGAGGTATTATTGATGTCATAAATTTACACCTGTGCTAATCTATGAAGCTTTATTTATATTCACTGTCATTTGTTTTGTTTTCATTTTAAGACATTGTTTTTTTTGTTTTTATTTATTTATTTTTAGCTTGCAGAAATGGTTAATTTACATTTTTTAAGTTTAATTGAGGCATTACAAGAAATAAATTCAATTGTATTAGCTAATGTATGGTTTTTTTTTTAATAATTAACAAAATAATTTCGTTTGTTTTTCCTCTTTTTATTTCAATAGTTATTTGCTATGTGGGTACCTGTTTTATATACACATCAAAGTCAGTTACCAGCTCATGTTCAAGTTCGTCTTCAAACATGTTTAAATCATCAACCATCATCCGAAACACAAGGTGATTTACGATTTATGTATGGTATGTATAAGAAAAAAATTGTTTAGTTTTTATTACAAATGATTTCTATATATTGAAAATTTTTTTCTAGCTATTTTACTCAAATGGCTTAATCGTTTACAATTTAAAATTGGACAAATCGAAACACAGTCAAGTCATGCTGCACAATTTTACAGTTTATAATATTGTATATGTATTTGTGTATTTTTATTAATAAATATTGATCGAGTAGTTTATTTGTGTAAGTTTGATTGTTCGTTTGCTTTTTTAAATGTAGATATGCGTGTAGTCGTCATTGGTTCGGGCCTTATCGGCCGTTGTTGGAGTGTAATTTTTGCTCGAGCAAAATATGAAGTTTATCTATTTGATACCATTCCGTCTGCACTTGGCTTAGCTCTTGTTGAAATCCGTCAACAGCTTGAACAACTTGGTCACTTTAATTTATTATTTAATCAAACACCAGGTGATATTTTAAAACGTGTTCAAACAATTGAAACTATAGAAAAGTTAAACGAATTATTTCGACAAGGTATTGATCATGTTCAAGAATGTATACCTGAAGATGTTGAAATGAAAAGAAAAATTTTTTTACAATTTGATGAAATTATTCCATTAAATGCTTTATTTGCAAGTTCATCATCATGTATAATGCCATCAAAATTTACTGAACAAATGAAAACAAGAAATCGTTGTATCGTTGCGTAAGTTAGTTAATGATATTCTTGCAAAAATTTTTATTCATTGATATTTTATTTAGACATCCAATAAATCCACCAACAACAATTCCACTTGTTGAAATCGTTGGTGCACCATGGACAGATAAAGACTTTGTTGATTTAGCTGTTGAACGATATCGTTCAATTGGTATGGAACCAATTCGACTTAAGAAAGAAGTTGATGGTTTTGTTGTTAATCGTCTTCAATATGCTATTCTTTCATCAGCTCTTCAATTAGTTCAAGATGGAATAGCTGAACCTGAAGATGTTGATCGAGCAATTACACATGGATTAGCATGTCGATGGTCATTTATGGGACCATTTCAAACAATTGATTTGAATGCACCAAAAGGAGTTAGTGACTGTAAAGTATCTTTTCTGTTTTTTATTTAATTCGAAAAACAAAAAAAGATATGGATACATTTTCTCTTTCTAAATAAATAGATTTTAATCGATATGGTTCATCAATGCAACGTGTTTTAACTGATATGAATTTTCCATCCGATTGGACACAAGAAACTATCGAAAAAGTTGATAAGTATTTTCGGTCACAATATCCAGTTGGTGAAAATGGAGTTGGTTTAAATGATAAAAAATTATGGCGTGATCAACGTTTATTAGATTTAGCTAAACATAAACTAACATATGCTGATCGTGATTATCGTATTGTTCGTTATCCATTATTCATACCAACAGATCAAGGACAATCAATGATTCAGGCAATAGAAAATGAATTAAAACAAGTTTATAAACATGTTAAAATAAGATTAGTACCAAAAGATGAAGCAAATACAATGAATCTTTCTGCTGAACCATGGAATTTAGCAGGAGCAAATCTTGGAACAAATGGAATTTTTTGTCAATTAGGTAAGTTTTTATATTTGAGATACAGTATTAGCTCTGTATGGTGAACACTTCGAATTTTTCAAAAGTGTTGATTTCAAAGAAGCTAGGTCTTCTCTAAAAATAGCTTTTTTTTTTATTATCAGGAACAAACTCATTTTTTAGGTATCGAAAGGATATTAATAAATTTGAGAAACTAGCTATTGCTGATGTGATTTGTCTTTTCATGCATATTTTCTCTTCGAAAATTAACGATTGTTAAAATTTAGTAAAAATTTCCTGTCGTGGACACCCTTAAAACTTTTTAACAGAATTCACAATAGAACTATATGACTATGTCTACTATGCAAAGGTTTTACTGTATATAAATTGATATAATAATTATATATACATATAGGTAGTGCACAGAATGTTGAATTTAAACAAGGTCATTCAATACGTTTTGATATTTCAAGTGTACTTGATCAATTACATATTAAAAATGAACAAACACTTGTTATTGGACCTGGTGCTGGTGATGGAACTTATCTTAGTTGTAATGGTGAACTTATATTCAATATGACACTTGATCAATATAATAAAGTCATCACTCAACGTTCATATAGTTCAATAGTAACAAAAGAAGAACAACCATATCAAAATTTATATCAAGTAAAAACATGTGGTCCATTTCAACATATAATGATATCATCAGTTGATCATACTAAATCAACGATTTTATTTGAAATCGATGTTCAAGAACGTTTATCTGATGAAAACGAAGAAGAAAATAATTTTATTTCAATTATAAGACGTAGTTTAAAACAATATTCTAAAGAACCGATGGGTCTTGGAGGAATATTTCGTGTTGAAAACGGTACAATTAAAGCTCATGTTATGCCAGAGTTTGTTAATGAAGATTTAATAGGAAAAGAAAAAGTTGATCAATGGTTAAAATTTTATGATATGCATGCACCATTGAATTGTTTATCTGTTTTATTAACTGAAAATATCAATAATGCTGGTTTCCGTTTAGAACATTCACATTTTTTTAGTGATCATGGACAAGCTGGACATTATCATTTTGATATAACACCTAAAGAAATACATTATCATGGTTATTTTATTCTATGTAATGAAGCCATTATTGTTGATTCTGTCGTATAATTTCATATTTAATTCGTATTTTTTCAATGATTCGCACTACATAAAATGGTAGAAATTTTTTTTGTAATTTTATTATTTTTGATCTTTTACACGCTATGATTATTATAAATAAAAAATTCATTTAATTGTTCGACAGTAATTCATTCGACTACCTTTCGAGTTGATTGCATATCAAGAGTACATATCAATACCATGTAAAATATGACGTAGTTTTGGCTCGCTGAAATAGGCGAGACAAATTATGTGTATTTATGTAAGCCGTTCTTTTTTCTCTATTGAGTACAACAAAAAAAAACATGAATAAAATTATTCTGCAATTCCCGGCTGCAAATATACTATGCAAATATAAGAACGAGACATAAAATACATGTTTATATAGACTGTAACATGATATGTCATACTGCACTACTTGCCATAAGTCCCTGGATGTGTGATAATTCCTCATAACTTCAATAATTTTCCACGAAATTTTTACCAGAGATAGAGCTTAAAAAACTGTGATCGCAAGCACCAACCAGAGCTCTATCGACGGATATAGTATGGAGTTATGATTCAAACATTAGTTTCACCTCTATTTACTTGTAAATCAATATTCACAGTTTTTATGGAAAAACAATCGCGATAGTGGAAGACTTGTTTAATCTTTAGGTTGTTTCGTAAGTTGTTACAGGAATACGCAGTGGGCATTTATTGCTCAATAAAGGCATCTCTGGAGAATAGTAGACTAATATTAACGAGCTAAGAAACAACTTATAGATTAAACAAGTCTTCCAGTATAGCGATTGTTTTTCCATAAAAACTGTGAATATTGATTTACAAGTAAATAGAGGTGAAACTAATGTTTGAATCATAACTCCATACTATATCAGTCGATAGAGCTCGAGTTGGTGCTTGCGATCACAGTTTTTTAAGCTCTATCTCTGGTAAAAATTTCGTGGAAAATTATTGAAGTTATGAGGAAGTATCATACATCCAGGAACTTATGACCAGTAGTGTATAAGACGAATCCATTACCTGAATTAGACAATAACATGATAATATGTTGAATGCTTTCAAGAAAGCCTTACAACAAATGGTTATCTATCTGAATCATCTGCAAAATCTTTTCATAGATTTTTATAAAAATGATGCATGCATAAATCCTCTTATATCTATCTACTCAATTCAAGAAATACAGACGGATTCTGGTGGAAAAGTGGGAGGAACGTGAAAGTAGAAATTCGTTGGCCAGCTTTGTTCGGTTATAATCAGTTCCAACCAGAACTAGAAAACTCCAGCTACTGAATCGAATTACCAGATTCGTTATGCTAAACACCAAACATTTTTCTAAGTTTCATGACCGAAAAAGGCATCTTTTCGACACGTTTCCATCAGAAATCTATGGACTCAGGCGCCGAAAACCTTCATCTGCGTAAGTGTTCAATGATGATAACTTAAAATAACTAAATAAAAACAAAATGTTTTAGATCATGAATTGTGATCTGATAATTAAAGTTTTGGGTTTGTATAACTTCTACTAGCAGAAACTTAGCATTTTTCATTCTTCAATCATTGTACATAAAATTTAAAAAGTAATTATCAATGACTTAGCATATATTTATTAACGTCTTTTAAAGATCTACAATAGAACATTTTATTACAAATTTCTTTGTTTTACAGCAAATCGATTTAATAGTACGTATGTAAGTTTATTGCTGAGATAAATCCAAAAAACTAAAAATTATTTCAATGAGACCGTCCTAAATAACCACTTGAAATATCTTTTTGATTCACTCGTGTTGATTTTGATTCACGTAATTCAATTTCCACATCAAAACTATTTTTCATTTTAATACGTACTACTTTAAATATTCGTTTATTCATAATTAATATTTCTTTCTCACTTGGAAATTCTGATAAATATTCGATATCTAATGCTGTATTAAATTGACGAATTTCAAATGAAATAATAACTGCATATTTTTTTTCTGCATGACGATCAGAAACATATTTTTCAGCAAATTGTCGATCTTTGGTTGCTGAAATAAATGTTCGATTTATTAATTTTGTACCAACTCGATAAATATTAAGATCATTATCAGACTTTATTTTCATACTACGATAACATATTCCTTGAAATTGATATTGTTCATGTAATTGACGATTAAAAAAAATTGTATCAATAAATTCTGACATAACATTTGTTTGAGTACTAGTATCATTTGTAGTTTCTTCATTTTGTGTTATTAAATAATTATTTACTTGATTACAAAAATCTGTATCCGTCGTATAAGCTTGAATTAAACGAGTACAATCTTTTTCATTGATAGCTCGACGAAAAAGACGTCGAATAACATCAATTTTAGGCATATTATTACCTAATTGTTGAAGAATTTTATCACCATGAAATACTTTATATTCTAAACGATTACCATTATAGGTATCTAATGTACGATCATGAATAACATTTTGTTCATTTCCATCGATAACAATCCATGTGAGTTTTTCTCGTTCATATGATACATCTCCTCCAAATCGATTCGATGTTTTAGGGCGTGTAAATAATTGTCGAATTTCTTCACTTTCACATTCATCAAATGGCGTATAATTATATTTATTTATAACACGTCGAGTAAAACCTCTATCAAGTAATAATTTAACAATATCAATATTTTTATAAAAACAAGCAGCATGTAAAGCAGTACTTCCATTAGGCTCCATTTTATCTAAATCTTCTAATGGATATTCATCTAACAAACGACGTACCGTTTCCATATCATTATTACGACAAGCAAAATAGAATTGACTTGTACTTTCATTTTGAATGAGGTTTTCTCCCATTAGATATATCAGTCATACAAAATGGATGTTTGAATAATAAAAAGTTCTTTTCCTTTCACGATTATTTTATTCGAAGAAATGGCGACGACGGTAGCAACAACAATATCGTGTAGATTCCGGTGTAAATACAACTATTTTGTTTTTTTTCTCTCTTTTTCTATTAGTGCACACAGAATAAAAAGAAAGGATAAAAAAATTTTATGACACGTCGTCTCGTGCATTAAATCATTCTCAGTACAAAGAAAGGTTATGATAGAGTAATACATATTTCTAATCAATGTAATCGTAATAGTGAATATATGACTAAAATAAGGATATTGATGTGTGGTAACGAGCAAAGTCACACATTAGTGCTTTTTTAAAGTGATATTCATCTAACATTGGCAACTGAATCAATTCTGTTGCATTTCGTATATGACTTCAAGATCTAAGACAAAATGGTATACTGATGTTGATACCGATTGAGTTGTTTTGGTAATATTCTGCTTTCATTTTTCAAATTTCAAATGTATGCAATCGTATACTTTAATTGCATGTTAACAACAAAAATTTCTTCTTTCAACATTTAGAAAAAAATGAAATAAAATATACTCTGTAAATATCAAGCTTTCTGATTTGCTTGTAGTGATTCGTTTCATTTTGATGAATATTTTTTTTATTAGAATTAATATACTGGTTACTAAAATTTCAAAATAACATCTATCGGCGAACTAATGTTTTTCTCGATCATATCTATATTACTAATCATTGTTTGAATTCACCAGCATAATACAGGCATCCTTAAAAAAGGCCTCCCCCCATCAAAAATGAAATTTTTTTCGAGCTCCAATCTTGTTAAAGCTTCCAGTAGAGATGTACCCTAAGCTGGCCACCTCACATTGAAAATTTCAGCTCGATACATTGAGTCTATGAAAAGTCAGCTTAAAATTACGGGACAAAATTTAGGTTTCTGTAAGTGTCAAATTTTTCCGCCATTTCAAATGCTAGAAAGTTCGGGCTGATTTTAAAATGTAGCCAAGATGTCGTGCTACAACTTAACTGAGCCGAATTTTTACATTTGTTCCTAGGTTAAGTTTTTAGAAGACTCCTTGAATGAAATATAAAAAAATGGAAGAAGTGTAGGTTCAGAATAGCGAGTTTCTTATAAATATTGATGGGAAAATTGAAAAACCCGTCTCTGTTAAGTTACTGAGCTAATTGTTGCCTTCATTTTGACACCAATCTCAACTTTCTAGCGTTTAAAATGGCGAAGAAATCTGGAACACACAGAAACGTAAAAATCAACAACCCTGTTTTGAGAAAAAACGATATTTTCTTCTATGGGAGGTTCAGAAATACCTATATATTGTCCTTAAATCTCATCAGCACATCAATAAATCATAGTGCATTCGAAAGTGCCACTTTGCTCTATCTAACGAGCTACAAATCACAAAATGGATAAATGTGGCCAAATTTCATTTTTTGGAAGAGAACCTAAATACCACTCATTCGATATCAATATTCCTACAATATTAATAAATAGGAACACCATATTATAATCACTTCCTTGCAAAAGAGCGCAAAGTAGCATTTTTGGTGTGAGAAAATCGATGAAGAAGCAGCAGACTTCACGAAACTTTTAGACTGAAGTCTCTGCTGTTTTTCTCTCGAATAGAATATTTTGATCCGTACTTTCTAGGTTGATCATATTAACAGTTGCGAAGTAAATAATTTTATTTGACTACTACATATCGATCTATCGTTTATTTACATATACATTATTTGCTTAGATTCAATGTTTAATACTGATCGAGCTTAACATTAAGATAATATTTTATTTTATCGCGATGCATTGATTCTCTTTCTTACATTATTAATTATTCTATACCATGAAAAATAACTACTTAATGATATAAAAATGATTCGTCGATGTTTCGATATCAACATGAAGAACAACGAACAATTAATCTACAACAAGAAGTAAATGATTAATGTTGAAATAAAGTTATTCGTGAAATAGGATAAGAATGCTGATATTAAACAAATTATCAAAGAAGCGGATAAACAAACAGCAAAAAAGTGATTGATTTTTTCCAAATTTTGGATTATCCAACGTTGACTTCACTACAGCAAAAGAAAATAAAGGTATCTTTTTACTTAGGTTTTATTCCATGACTATGACTTTTTTTTTTGTATATTAG